CACATCATTGCTCAAAGCCTCGTGAAGTCGCAAATCGAACAAAATATCGGAGAGAAACAAAATAACGAACAGAAAAATCATCTTTTGCGTCGACCTCTCCCCCAAAATTTACCACTAGTGGCAACCTTTGGAGAACACACAAGATCAAAATCCTGGTCGGACTCAAACTTTTCCGACTCCAAATCAACATCAGAATCCTCCAGCCAATTATTCTGCTTCCGAATATCCAAACCAGAAGAATTACCCACACATTTAGCCATTACTTTGGTATCCACCTCACTAACAGGGATCACAAAAAAATTGTTTTTAGCCGAAATAAATTCATCTCGACCCAAAGACGGAACCTCCTTCTCATTAACAACCGATACCACCTCAACAGGCACAAAGCCATCAGAACCAATATCTGCCTCATTTAAAACTTGAACACCCCCATCAACAGCCACCTGACCTTCCAAATTTGAAATATTACACACAGGCATGTCACCTGGGGGAATGAAAGGCAGCGCATTTGGAGATAACACATTCACTCCAAAATCCTCTCTAATTAAACCGGAATTAACATGAACAGAAAACGACCCCGACAAATCATCCTGAGCTATATTCACCATAACAGGATCAGCCGCCGGGTCCTCCACACCAGGGGACGAAACAGCCAAATTAAGAGGGGGCACCACACTAACACAATTACTAATCAACACATTCTCAATCACATTTCTATTCTCCATATCTTGGATCTCAGCAATGCCAACAACAGGGGGTTTAACAATCTCAGAGAGGGGAAGTTTTGGGTTCAAACAATGCATCGCAGAGGGGGCACAATGACTTTTCAGATGCCCCAAATACTTACAGGACTCACAAAAATCAGGAAAATGTTCAAATTGAACATTTTGGATATATCCCGACTCCTCAGGACCCAGCCATATCTGTTTCGGATAGCTCTTAGTCACATCTAGTTCGACTAAAACTCGCGCGAGAGAGGGTCGAGAGCCAACCGAAGTAGCCGAATCTACCTTCAAAGGGTTACCAAACAATGAACCTAGAGCATGCAAGATTCAAGGAGAAAAGAGATGGGGTCTTAATTTAGGAAAAGAAACCCAAATTAGAATGACCGGCGATTCACAGCCAATGTCCAGAAGAGGCGACTACTTCGTGATTTTCACAAAATAATTATTTACCATATACGAACGATGGCAAAACACACTGCTGCAATCAAGCTCATTAGACAATTTAATTAAGACATGCGATTGATCCAGAACCGTGACCGAAAACTCCGCTTTCAGTTTGAGTGCAAAGAAAATTTTCCGAATGTCATCCAGAGAAGGGCGTTTCGTAGGAAAAAAACCAACTAATGCAAATTGAAAAGGCAAAGAAAGGGCACAAATTTCAGCTTCAGAGATCCACAAGGACGGTAAACCTCGAAAAGATCCATGCCGGAGATCAGAAAAACTCTCCGAAGACGAAGAACCAGCGAGTGCCTCAACAAAAGACTTTGATTTAAAAGAACTAACCATAAAACCAGGATCTTCCACACGCCGGACCACCATCCAGACGGAAAGGACTACCGAGAAGATCCTCCGCCGAGAAAACAAATGCGAAACCCTAGCAGAGCTTGCAGCTGAAGAAACATCGATTCATATATCTTATCTTGCATGGCCAAATATAATTTTAAAGAAATATCATTTCTAACACTTTATAACCATGGCTTTTTAAGATATACATTTATCTTTCTTAATATAGTCCATATCTAATATACAATATCTACTCTTTTAATCGGGCCATTAGAAGTATGACGTTTTATATGACCAAACTGTGTTAAACCGTGTTAGGTGAGCACTCTATGATCTAATCTTATCTACTACTGGAGCTACTCCGCCTTTCCCGTATATTATCTTTTTACATTTTATCTCTAAGAGTAAAGTCACTCATCCACCCGAGCACCTCATCTCAAAGATGAATCCAGCTGATGGAATTATAAAGTTCTTACCAACAACTAATTAGTTCAAATATCTCTATAAGAATCAAGAACTAACAACATTTATCCACTTTAATCTAGATTAAATAGAATATTAATGTCCTTTTTATATCTTTAACTAATTTCATACCTATTTACTTAATAATTGTCTTTATGTCCCATTTTTAATTAATAAAATATATGAGAAAATTTTTTTCCTTCTAAAAAATTAAATGCTCTTCAATTATCATGATAATTGCATACGAATAAGCACCTCACATCCCATTAATATAATTTATATTGGATTGGCCAAAATGGAATATTACATTTAAATTAGAACAGTTTTGGCAATATTTAATCCCACCAATAAAAAATGGTCAGTTTGAAGTTTGAAAACGGATAACTGTACTCAGCTGGTAATATACCCACTTGCATAATTTATATTTCTGCCCAAATATTTCAGCTTAAATATTAAAGAGTACAGAATCACAAGTACAAATCTCCATTCAGTTGTGATTGCTATTCATATTGAGGAGAAAAATTTTCTAGTGCGGATGCTGAATGCCGTTAAGAGATCAATCAGAATGCGTCACATTATTTTTGTTTGGTACCATGCTTGATACTGCTCGGTATCGTGGCTCGGTACCATTCAGTATCGCTGACATAACACATTCTGGTTGATCTCCGGATGATAAATTGTATTCACGCATAGAATATTTCCTCCATATAAAGAGAGCTATGCGGACATATATGAAATGAAATGATGTCGACAACTAAGGAAGCATAAATTTTGAATTTTCAGTGTAAGAAATAGGAACTTTGTACTTTATAAGAATGAAGAATTAAGAGCTGGCAAGGAAAAAATAAGCATGCTACGGCCCTTAGAGTCAGAATATTATACATGCAGATTCACACACACGTGCATGGATATATATAAAGTTAAATATATCAAGAGTATAAGATTTTTATTTGGGATAACTTTCTAATTATTTTTTACAATTTTCTTGTAAAAATATTTATAGAAAGCAGTAACAAAATAGTGTTCAAAAGCTTTCTCAAACAAAGACAGCTTTTTTACTGTTTTTTAAAATAGTTTTTAAATACAAAAATTAAAAATTTTTATGCTAGAAAGCTGCTTTAAAAATAGTAAAATAGCCGTTCCAAACAAAGCCTAAGACTTGATTTGGGATAACTTTCTTATTGCTTTGTTTTTCAAATCGTAATCATAATTTTTATTTGATGACTATTTTTTATTGGTTTTAAAATATTTTTGTATTAGAGATCTACTTTCTATAATAGTTTTAAAAAATTATTTTATTTATAATAATTTTATTTTTATTAAAAATTATTTTAATATTAGTAATGATCTTTCTTTATTATATTTAAATGAGAATTTGACTTTTAACATGACACAATTTTGACGAAAAAGTATTCATGTAGCCGACCACACAGTGGGACAAAGGTTTGATGTTATTATTGTTGTATAATAATTTTATAAAACAACAAGAGAACTATTCCAAATAAAACCTAAGATAATTATTCAATTTTTGGGGAAATGAGAGAGAAAATTGATTTATGTTTTTTGTTTGCAATACATATAGTATACTAATTTATTTTTTAGGCACAAAGATGATAGAAGAAAGAAATATAAAAATTTCCCAATAATAATTCAATATCTCAAAAATAAAATAAAATAAAATTATATATATATACCCTTATAATTGTGGTTAAGACTTAAGAGCATGAATAATACATTAATGAAGTAATGTATGCACGGTTAGCATAATTCATATAGAATGTGCTTATATTACAATATTTTAAGCAATTATCATAGTTTTTTGTAAAATTATACAAAATATTTATCAAAGATTAATTGATAAATTAAAATATAATATGTTGTATGAAAGAAATAATTAATTTAAAATAAAATCCATATGATAATTGTAAATATTATTTTTTTATCGTAGCCCTTATTCCTCTATATATTATTACCAAAATGCATTGAGGGCTGACTTATTACAGAATGATAAACGCAAATGTACATTGAAAATAATATTAATATTATATAATAATATAGAGTACCATTCCAATATAAATATTGTATATATTTATATAAAGAAATAGATCCGCACGCATGCATGTCTTCATTGTAGGGACTTATATATTTATTTAATCATGTACAAATACAGTATTATATAATGTACATTGAAAAAGGATGATCTTTAATTAGATTCAATATATTATATCTCTCAACTAAAAAAAATAGAAATAAAAACTCACCTTTGCTTAGCGTCGTTGGTGGACGAGTACGATTGGAAACCCCATAACTCGTGTTTGATTCCCCTCGAGCGGCAGCGCCTCTTAAGTGGGGTCCAATTAAGTACGGGCAAAGAGGTTTATGAGATGGGTGCCTCTTCTAAGTCAGCCGAGGATTAGTCACGTCGCCAAGCACCTTTTCAAGAGTGGCAGCGGGTGGATATCCCGTTCCCCAAAAAAAATAAAATTAAAGAATTTATTAATGTTTGACCTTAGCAGCAAAGCATAGAAGTTAATTTACAGGTTACAGGTCAAGGACAGTGATACACACAAACTTATCCTCATTAATGGCTGATTTTTTTTGGTGTATTACAGATTCCACGATATTATTTCTTATCAGCATTTATGAAAAAAAAAAAGAAATGAATCACTATATATAGAACTTGCAGCTTTAGGCCAAAGCCCCAGTGATTCATGTGACCTCTCCCTTCTAAAACAAAAGAGAAGCCTGGCTGACTTTGTGATTAAAAAAAGGGTCTGAAAGGCAAAGGCAATTAGAGTCAGCAAGGTAGATGATAGGTGAAAAAGCCAACTCCATTAAAGTCTTTCAATATAAATATATATTCACATGTTCATTAGACACCTGTAGGGGGCAAAAATAAAGACAATGAGGAAGCTATAGAGAGAGAGAATTTAACCCAACACAACAGAGAGTGTAAGTCTTCAGAGACTAGAGGGAGAGAGAGAGAGAGATTGAAGAGGAAGAAGAAGAAGGGTGGTTGTGCTAGCTGAAGCAGCTAAAGGTAGCCATGGGAAGGCCGCCATGCTGTGACAAGCCTGGGATCAAGAAAGGTCCATGGACTCCTGAAGAAGACCTCATACTTGTCTCTTACATTCAGGAGCATGGCCCTGGAAACTGGAGATCTGTTCCTATTAATACAGGCCAGTACCCATCTTTTTTTCTTTTTCAGTTTCACTTCATTTCTTGTGTGAATCAATTCCATCTCTGATCGATCAACTTAGTTTTTTTCTCAAATTTTTGCTTCAAATCTGACTGTAGGGTTGCTGAGATGCAGTAAGAGCTGCAGACTTAGGTGGACAAATTATCTAAGGCCTGGAATCAAGCGTGGAAGCTTCACTCCACATGAAGAAGGAATTATAATCCATCTCCAAGCCTTGCTTGGCAACAAGTAAACCTAGTTAAATCCTAGTTCTCCAGTACTTCAAAAAAAAAAAATTTTTTGCTGGATTACTGATTTCAAAGTTCCAAACTTTATTTTTCAGAAAGTTTCTTATGAAAGTTCTTTTGAGGTTTTGGTTTTTAGTTTCATATCTTATGACTGTAGGTGGGCAGCCATCGCCTCTTATCTTCCTCAAAGAACAGATAATGATATCAAGAACTACTGGAACACTCACCTTAAGAAAAAACTTATTAAGCTACAAGAAACAATAGGAACTCATGATCCTTTTGCCATTGAAGCAGCGACTGTAAACCCAGAGTTCGCCGGAGTTCAGTTACAGCAACAGCATCCTCACTCTTCCTCCACCTATGCTTCTAGCACAGATAACATCTCAAGGCTGCTCGAAGGGTGGATGAGGTCATCAGAGAAGAACACTATGCAGTCCTCTGCAATGGATATAAGGAACAGTGGTGACAGTTTGATATGTCATGAGGAGTTTTGCTCTGTGAAGTTGCCGGAGATGATGCCTTCGTCGGCGGCGATGGCGGAGGTGGAGCAGAATCGATCTCTGACCTTCTTGGAGAAGTGGCTGTTTGATGATGGTACAGGGCAGGTTGATGGCTTCTTGGAACTGCCCTCTGATCAGCTTATTTAAACGACTCGAGTTCTTAAATATATAAGAAATCATATAGATATATTATGGATCTATCTGACAATTTGTATGAGATAGATTGAGAATTTGAGATCAGAAACCTAAGTGTAAAATAAAGAAATGCTGGTCTTATAATATATTAAATTGGAATAATATTGGCTGCATTACTGTTTCAATTAGTTTGGTTTGGTTTCTCTACTGCTTTATTTTTTTCCATGGTTTTGATTTGTATAAGTAATGTTTGGCTTCTTTGTAATTTTAAGTGCATGTAAAATAAATGGTAAAAGTATCTAAAGCATCAAGAACACTTCAAAAGCTTAGGCTTATATGTAATTTTAAGTGCATGTATATGCTAATTAATTAAAGATAAATTTGGAGTAACTCTTAGGCTTCCTTTGGGAAGACCTTCTTACTGGATTCTTCTGAGTACAAAAATTTTAATTTTTGAATTAAAAAGTTATTTTAAAAAGCTGCAAGAATGTCATCACAAATGAAGTTTTAATCGAATTATCATGAATTGAATTAAAAGTTATTAGACATTAATTTTGATTTCGAGTCAATTTTGAGCTGATCTTTTATTTTTAACTTGTACTCAAAGAAATTCATATTTAAATTGAAGCCACCAAGGCACTGAAGAGGCCAGGTTACTAATAAAAATTCTTTTTGCAGATATATATCACATTCTTCCCAAATTTAGTTGATCCACCTCTTCAAGTGATGATGTGGCTTCACTTTAGATCTGAATTTCATAGTAATTTGTAGTGAGTTTTAAAGTAAATTGTAGCAATATTTATTGCCAATTTCTCAACACCTAATATAGCATTTTGGGTGACATTAAGGAAACTTAATGAAAATTTTTATCTTCTGTTGTTGACATGCTCTTGGCCGGGTGTCTCTATGCTTATGGTTCGTGTGCTTTTATGGTTGTGGGGCTCAGGTTGTTTGTTTGGTTTGTTGAGGTGGCTCTTGGTTGGAGTTGAATTGGGGGCAGGCAAAGCTTTGGTTTTTTTGTTTTTTTGGTTGGGGTTTATTGGTGTTTGGGTTTTGGTTGGGATCTTCGTGGTTTTGGTTGATCCCGTCAGTGTGTTGTTTGGATTCTATATAGTCTCGTGAGGGCTCTATCGTATATGGCTTTGAGTTTGGTGTTGGTTCGGTTTGTGGTTGTGTCGTGAGGTTTGGTAGTGGTGGTTTGTGATTTTTTTTTTTTTGGCTTGCTTGATGTGGCGCTATTTGTCGTCCTTGTTCTCTTTTGGCTTTTCATCTGCTTGTTGTTGGCTTTGGGTGTGATCCTGTATGTAGGGGCTTTCGGGTTGCTGTTTGTGTTGTTTGGCTAGTGGTTATTGGTTTCTTGATTTGCCTTGTTGTTTCTCTCTTTTGTATTTTTTCTTACATATGACTTGTATTGGTTCGTGTGGCTCTTCTTCTGGCAATGATCCTTTTAGCTACTTCTTTGAGACGATTGTTCTTTTTTACTTGTTTTCCTTATGTTTTTATCTCTTCTTATATATTGTATTAGGTAGAATCATTAGCTCGTAGGTTTTATTTCAAAGGCTGTATTTTTATAGAGCTTTTTGGTTCTTTAATAATCTATAATTTTCCTGTTTAATTAACACATAAGCTCCGTTGTGGATGTAATAAAAAAAAGGAAATTTAATGAATTTTTTTTAAAGAAGTATACTTAATGAAAATTAAATATAGAGTACTTATTATATAAACATTATTTACAAATATGATTATCTGTGTAAATACAAATTTCAATATCTATGGAAAAATAATGACTAAAATTTAAGTAACACAAAGTTTCTATATGGCTAATTTAGGGAGGGGTGGATCTGTAATAATCAAATTCATATTATGCAAGAAATTGTTCACTTTGTTTAAAATAATTTCATATTAGACAAAATTTTATAATTCCATCTTTTCTAATGCAATGCATTCAGGAGTGGACCATTATAAACATATTTAGTTGGGAGGTTCCTACAAAACTCCACCATTACATTTAAGGCTGCCTTACATATTATTATAGTTTCACTGTTTACTTATATAGTCCAACAACATTTATTTTGGCATGCAATTTTCAATAATGAACCCCCACCCACCTTTCCTTTCTCTAGGAAGCCAATTACTTTAGAAGTCACTCCTTCTCTAGGCCTTTGCCTTGAATATCACTTACGCCCTCTTTAAATAAGGGTGTCAAAACAAGCCAATAGGTCATTTTGAGCGATTCAAAAGCGATCTGACCCGAATCCGATTTGCTAACAACCCGAACCCATCCTGATAACTGGCATTAGCTTATTCATTATAAAATTTAGATTAATTGATAAAAGATAAGAAGATTATATCAATAAATAAAAGAAATTAAGAAAAAAAAAAATAAACAGATCAAATTTGGTTTGGTGGGTCAACTCAAATCCGACTCGTTTATTAAACGAGTCAACCCAAGCCAGAATTTTTTAGGTCATGTTAACAAATTTGGTCATCTTTGAATTTGAGATATATATCTATTTGGTGAATTTCAGCAATGGACATATCCAACTATTTTGTCGTATCAAATAATAAAATCAATCAAATAAATAATCATAACTAAGGCATTGTTTGAGATGACTTTTTTATTGCTTTTTAAAATAAAGTTTTAGTATAAAAATTTTAATTTTTGTATAATAAAATTATGCTTTAAGAAGCAATAAAAAATTCATCCCAAACAAAACCTAAACATACAACATGATGTTTTTAACTCGCAAGGATACACTGATTAACACAAAAAATTGTGTGAAAGCTATCTTAAAATTTTAATTTATCTAGGTATAGAGCTTTTAATAAATATTAATGCTCAATTGTATAATATTAGATTTTCAACATATACTTACCTCAAAGAACTTTTTATTTACATCAAATTATGTAATAGTGTTATTTTAAAATTAGATACTTATTCAAGATTAACTTTCTATTTCCTTCTATTTGAAATAATAGCTAGCGAGCTTTTAATGCATAGCAAAATAAACAAATAAAAAATGTAAAATAAAATCATAAGTTTAAAGATTCAATTGAGATTCAACTCTTCAAAAAGTTTTTTGATTAAAAATTTTAATACTAAAAAAATATTTTAGAAAGCAATGAAAAAGTTGTCTCATACGAATCTTAGGCTTCGTTTGGGACGGCTTTTTTATTGCTTCTTGAAACAGTTTTTTAGTACAAAAATTAAAATTTTTGTACTAAAAAGCTGCTTCAAGAAGCAGTAAAAAGATTGTCCCAAACGAAGCCTTAGTCTTTTAAAATTACTTGGCAAACAAAAAAAGGTAGCTAAATTTGTAAATTTAAAAATATTACAAATTGGAAAATATTAAAAAAAAAGTTATTATTAAATAATTAAAAAGGTATATTGATAAAAATTATGTTAGAATTTTCTAACTTAAATTTTGATTGGTATAATCTTAACGTCCTATCTACTTTAAGATTAGTACAATACAAATCATTTATGCATTATAGCTAATTTAAAGCAAATCAAAGAGTTTTAAAGCTCACCCTATCTATTTTCTTGATCAGAATATTATAACACAAAATTTTCTCACAAAATATCATGTGAATATATATTGTTTCTCACTTATGAACTAATTTCTTAATTAAAATTAAATTTGATCACTAATATATTAACAATTGCTAACCACTACCATCACAACAACTACGCGAGGTGAGAGTAAGGCTAGTTAGTGGCCTACCTAACAAGTACTGAAAACACGAGCACAAAGAACTCAACTAAAAGCATGTTTGATACTACTGCAATGTTTTATAAAGTTATTTATAAAGTCATTGTGATGAAAGCAACTTAACTACTATGATTCTTAAAAAGTAATTTTTCACCACAAAACTTTCTGAAACCTATGAAAAATCAGTAGCATAATCTTTATTTGAAAAACAAAGCAGCTAGAAAGCTGTCTCAAATATGCCATAAAATGTGAGCCAATTGCTCCTTACATATTAAGAACCCATTTATTACTATGTTCAATAATTTTTATTTGTAAGATTTTAATTTTATTTTTTCCCCTTGTTTTTACCTACCCTTATTCATCTTTAATTAGCAATTTCTAAATATCAATAATACAAATCAGACAAAACAAAACAACAGAGTTAAATAGCCTTTGGCTCTTTGGATTGCTGTTCACCAGTAGTGGAAGCTAAAATATCACTGGAGTCCTTGAACCCTTTCGGTTCTCATGCAAATGAAAAAACCCTAGCAAATCATGACAAAATTAGCATATATATAGAAAATATGTACTTTGCGTTACTCATAGTATCTAGACATAATAAAATATTAAAATTCCTTTTCTAATCAAGTAAATATCTTACACAAGATAAAGGCTTCATTTCGGATGGCTTTCTTCCTGCTTTTTAGAGATGCTTTTTAGTACAAAAATTAAAAAATTTGTATTAAAAAATCGCTTTAAGAAGCAGTAAGAAAACCGTCCCAAACAAAGCCAAAGTCTTTATCACACCTCATGCCGTCATGCGCCTTAATATAAATAGTCCAAGGAAGGACATATAGTCATGCACACATCATTAATTTTCATATGCATGCATTTCTAACGCCTCAAGACGAGAATTTAAACTGACTTTTTCTATACATTTAAGAAATATCAATTCAACTTTTTGTTATGCTAGAGTCAGCTAATCATCCAAATTAATATAGAACAGACATTCAGATTATGCATATAAAATATTTCTTCCAAAACATGTAAATAACAGTAATTCGAAATACAATGATTGGTACAAAAGATTAACTTGCATTCTAAACTACAAAATTATGTATATCGAAATTCAATTCACAGTCCATTAATAAAATCAGTGAAATAAAAGAGTTACTATTTACTCTACAGTAGGCATAATAAAATTACATATGAATATGAATGCAAAAATGCATATGTATTAATGTCCACTTATAACTCTTATTTATCACATCTTACATGCTTTAGGCAAGTGTAGAACAGAGCCCGAATAGAGAAAATGTATTCTAACAAGACTGAATTTTTCCAACAGAGATTATAGAAAGTAGATATCAACATATGGATTTTTATGCCCAACAATTTGGTTAAATCCTGTCACTACTCTGGACATGCTAGAGATTTCTGATGTTGATCCTTAATGGCGATGGTGATTGTCGACGACAATAATTAGTGGTGGTTTTCGATGACG